GAACTCACAGAGATCCGCCTGGCTCTGCCTCCCGAGTGCTGGGATTAAAGGCGTGCGCCACCACCGCCCAGCAGGCATGGGAAATTTTTATCTATAAACACTCAAAATTCACCTAGATGATTATTCTGGTTTTCTTATGGCTTAATTTTCCAGATTTAACTCTGTCTTGTATGTCTTGTATCCCATCTTCAAGTAACATACTTAAAAATCACTTAACACATCATCTTTTCTTTTTCTAGTGTTTTGTGATTTTTTTTTTTAAATATACTTTACTTTGTATACTTTCTGCCTATTTGACTTTGTTGAAATCTTGAATGAAATGCCAAGGTAAATATTACATGATAATATCTTCAAATGACATCTGTTTTTTTGTCTCTTAAATTTAGTCTGTGTTTTACATTATTTCCAAGCTTTCCCAAAGTACATTAAGTATTCTTGCTCTTATTTTTAAGAGGAAGGCTTCCGAAAGGGAAGAAAGCGGTTCCACGCAAGGGCCCACACCAGGCTGCTCACACCTCTCCCAACAGTCACCACCCTCAGCTATACTAAAATGGAAGCATTTCATACGAACGTGAGCATGGGTCAGCAAAACAGCTGGATGGACTGTGGAAGATAATATAAGCATATCTAATGACATTTTAATCTCAATCTTCTAAAATATCTACCTTTATATAGTTTACATAAAATTAGCACAACAATATGTAGTTAATAAATTATAGACTTAATATATTGGAGATTGGTGTTCAACACATAGTTTTAGTTCACAAGGACAGAGGAAAAAAGCATCAAACTGAACTCCAATTCTTTCAGCTATCAAATATTTCCTGCCCCCATCTAGACAAGCTCTTCTCCACATGCTGCTTCATAAGCAGCACCTACCCAGTGTTCCCTTCCTGCTGTGTCCTAACCCAAACCTGCCCTCACTTCAGGAGGTCAGGACTGCAGTCCTCAGGGAATCTTTTGTTTGATTTCCTCACAGCCCACCTATCTTGGGATTTACAAGTCACCTTGATGAGTTCTGCTGTTATCTAACTGTAACGGTTTTCCAGCATCTTCCCAATGCTCTCAGGCTGCTCGTGTCCTCTGCCACCCAATGTCATAGTACCTGCAATGGCCTGTGGATCTCAGGGTCTTTCCTTGTCTATCTCTCATACTTCTGAAACTCTCTTGGTTACATGAATAGTACTGTAGCAGCGAATGCTAGGGGCCTTCTCATATGCCTGTTTTCCATCTTTTTGCTATCCAGATATGTGTACAAAGATTACATTTTTGCAACATTCAAAACCAAAGAATGGCCTTGCATAATAACTAACACTAACTTTGCAGAACCAGAAACTGCTGGGAGAGACTTTAGTAAAGTCTCCTTACAACCATCAGTGGCAGGGAAAGATCTCACCTTCTTCATCTCGTCCTTGCCATCTAGAACACTGCTACTCAGTAACTCAACTCTAGAATTCACCTTGGACTATATGCAACCTTTGTGGTGTGCTGGTTGCTAGCTCTGAAACTCCATGCGCTTGGGGTCCTGTAATTTCAGAGAGATGTTCACTGACATGTGTACTGCTAACAAGCCTTTCTTTTAAACAGGGGAGCAAATCCTGGATTATTAGTTTGGATTTTCGGCAATAAGCAAGCGAATCTAAATCTAATGTAAATAAAGTGACAAGTTTACTGACCTCTATAATGTTATGTGTTCTGCTCACACACTGCCATTCTACAAATGAATCACCAGTGCAAGCTAATGTACAGCGGAAGTAAGTCGATTAAGCACTAACTCTGTGAATGCAACAGTCTGTTCTTCTAACATTTAACCATATGCACAACTCCAAGCTTCTAGGTCATAAATTATAATGTCATCTTTCAGCTATCCCTATAACCAGATTTATTTTACAATGTATTTTCTTTTTGCTTTTTGAGATAAGAGTATTGCTATGAATCTCAGGCTGGCCTGGGACTCACTATGTAGCCTAATGCTAGCTTTATGCTTGCAAGTATCTGCTATGTTTCAGCCTCCCAACTGCTGGGGCTAGACAGCTAGCTGTATCACCATGTCTGTTGTGGTTTGAATGAGAATGTTTCCATAGGCTAAAGTATTTTAATATGTGGTTCTCAGTTGGTGGACTGTTTGGGAAGGATGAAGAGGTGTAACGTTGTTGGAGAAGTTGTGGCCTTGTTGGAGAAAGTATGTCACCGGGGGCAGGCTTTAAGGTTTCAAAAGCTAACACCATTCCCAATTTTTCTCTCTGCCTCCAACTTGCTAATAAGATGTAAGCTCTCAGCTACTACTTCATCACCATGCTTACATGTCTGCTGCACCCCCTTCTGACCCCCCCCACCACCATGCTGGTGTTCATGGATTTACCTTCTGAAACTGTTAAGTAAGCTCTCAATTAAATGCTTTCTAAGTTGCTTTGTCGTAGTATCTCTTCACAGCAATAGAACAGTAACTCAGATCTACTGTCTATAATATATTATTCTATGTGACTGTACTTCTACCTGTAAGTCGTTTTATTATAGCCCTCAGATATAAATTTAACTACCCTTTTTCTCTATGTCTGCATCTAAGCAGCACAGACTGCTGGCAAACTGTCATAATTATGAATACAATTATTAGTCTCAAATAAACTTAATATGTATTTTCCCAAAATGCCAAGTTTTATTTTAAACATACTTCAATCTCTTTACAACAAGTCTATCTACAA